AACATCAACATTTTGTCTTCAGGAAGCTTGAAATATCTGTTGCAGCTTATAGCCTCTCTCTCTGCTGCTTTTGAATATGTGCCGTGTTTTGTGATCAACGAGTCGGGTTGGGGTTCAGCCTCTCTGCCAAACACACAGAGAGAAACCCTCTTGCTGCCAGAACTCATTCACTATTCCTCTTTCTCCTGTCGGTGCCTGTCGCTCTGCCAAGAGATGACAACACAATCTCAGTCTGACTCGCCCAGAGAGAGAGAGTTTGGGTTTGTAGAGAATGTTACCTTTAAGATCTGAAAAACAAACAAAAAATAAAGCGAAATAGGAACGTGTGACGTGCATCCGTAAGGTTTCTCCTGGATTATTTTGGCGGGCATATTGCCAAAAGACGAACCCCTTAGTTAATCCTCAAGCAGCTCCACACTTCTGAACAGAAACATGAAATGATGAACAGTAGAAGAAGATGACTTCATGTTTTCCAACAGTATGGATGATCAGTGCAGTGTGGAAGTGATGGATGCCCAGCACATGACTTTCAAACAGATCTGCACTTTTTGAAACATATTCAACATTAACACAGTTAAAAAGTACATTTTTCTGAATCCTGTACTCAAGTTTGAGGTACTTCTACTTTACTTGAGTAAATATATTTCCAATACATCTCAGAGTCAAGTAGTTTAATTATTTTACCTCCACTATATTAACTGACGCCCCCCCCTCCTCTCTTTTCTGCCTTTCTGGGAATTGTCCAGTAGCTCACACATCCCTCCCTCTCTCCCTTCTTCCTAGAAAAGAGGCAGTTCATGTCAGAGAGGGGGAGAGTAGGGCCAGACGAGGGCCACAGAGTTTGACTTTCCCACCCCTGCCCTCTCTCTCTCTCTCTTTTCTTGGTTTATTGTCTTCTTCTGTCTAAGTGCTAATCTGTGTGTGTGTGTGTGTGTGTGTGTGTGTGTGTGTGTGTGTGTGTGTGTGTGTGTGTGTGTGTGTGTGTGTGTGTGTGTGTGTGTGTGTGTGTGTGTGTGTGAGTGCATGTTTGTGTTTGTGTTAGGGATGTGCGATTATGGCAAAAATCATAATCACGATTATTTGGGTCAATAATTGATATCACGATTATTAAAAACGATTATCCATTTACTTTGAAAGCATCCATATATTGAAAAAAAAATGTGAACAGTATGTTTTTAACAGTTGATTACCCTGAACTTTAAGTATAATTCAACTGAAAAACCAATAAAAAAAAGAAAATAATAACATTCTTTTTTTTATTTTTTATAAAAATAATAATCGTTTTATTTCGATTACATTGTTTTCGTAATCGTTGCAAGCCAAAATCATAATCGAGATTAAAATACGATTAATTTCACAGCCCTAGTGTATGTGTGTGTGTGTGTGTGTGTGTGTGTGTGTGTGTGTGTGTGTGTGTGTGTGTGTGTGTGTGTGTGTGTGTGTGTGTGTGTGTGAGTGTGTGTGTGTGTGTGTGTATGTGTGTGTGTGTGAGTGTGTGAGTGTGTGTGTGTGTGTGTGTGTGTGTGTGTGTGTGTGTGTGTGTGTGAGTGCATGTTTGTGTTTGTGTGTATGTGTTTCTTGTGTTGTTTTGTTTGTGTGAACGCTCCACTACACTCAGTGTATAGACGTAGCCCTGGAGAGGAAGGGAAGAAAGAGTCAAAGAGAGAAAAGAGAGACAGAAGGGATCTCTGTGTGAGGGAGAGAAGGCGAGAGTTCAAAGATGGACAGCACGTATGGAGTGTGTATGGGGAGCCATACGGAGAAAACACATGAAAGAAGGAAAGAACAGAAAGTATATATATATAAAAGCTGCAGCAGCTTCATAAGCTCATTTGAAGCGTTTGACTGAGACAGAGATGTTTCTCTGGTTTGTCTCTCCATCATCTTGTACGGGGGGGCTTTTATTTTGCTGTCGGTTTTTGGATACCCCCCTCGGCCCCCTCCCCTGAGTGGGGGTGGATGCAGACGGTCCGGTCTGCTCCCACGGATCATTAGCATATTTAATTAACCTGGACTGGGGGGGTGATGGGGTAGGGGGGCAGTGTGTGAAAGTGCCCTCCAACACACACCCATCAGCAGCACCCCTGATCCCCCCCCCCCCTTTCTTCCCTGGTTGCCGTGGTTCCAGCCTGATGCTCTTTGTTTTAAGCTGCTGAAGCAAACAGACACAGTGCAGCATGCAAAACAAGACTGATAAATACTGCACTGTCTCAGTGTGTGTGTGTGTGTGTGTGTGTGTGTGTGTGTGTGTGTGTGTGTGTGTGTGTGTGTGTGTGTGTGTGTGTGTGTGTGTATCTGTGTGTAGAGGAAAAGGTCCCTCACTGTAAAAAGTGTTTGTTTTTTAATGGAAATGAACAGTTGAACAGTAAAAAAGAAAATAAATGTGAGTATAATATCAGTGACTCATCAGTCTACTAATTATTGCATATATATTATGAAGACATTGGACAGACAAAATGTACATGAACAAGTTCTACAAGTTCAAAATACTGAGAAATGGTGTTGCTACACCTGCCTGATCATCCAGGTTACTTCACTTCATTTCTCTTGATTCAATGTATTCAGTAACAATAAAGAATGAAAACTTGGAACATAAACATCTTTCAAGGCTGTTTCCTTTCTATTATGTTATTAATGTACACATCCCTATTTAAAGGCAGGTTGTTTCTGTCAAGTATTAACAAATCCTTAACTGAAAAAGCTGATTTATTTGAAAGAAACATGAAAACAAAGGGTTGACACTGAAAGCACTTCCTTAGTGTGGAAGCCTTGCCTCCTTTGTGCCCCCTTTCCTCCTTCCTGTTATTCAAACACTGACCCATGCATTCACCACATCTTCCTCTCAATCATCTTTTTCATTAGGAAGTACAAAACTCTTTTCATTGGTAAACCTCATACATATTGCTAATCAGGTTGTTCCAGATCTATGCTGAACTCATATTAAGTTTACGTTGAGTCCAGCCCAAGAGTCCAGGTTTTTTATTAAAAAGAAACATTCTACGTGTCTTATGCTTCATTTTGAACACATTTTCCACAAAATCCAGACTTTGGGATCTGTACTATAATTGTAAATGAGGTTGAAGAATCAATTGACAATTTACAGCCTCATTTCTGTTCTTTCGTCTTCATTTGCTGCTTGTTAGTTACATAGTATTCATTAAAAAGTTTCACTTTACTAGGCGTTCTAATAAAGCAGGACCTGACCTGAGTCCATCCGTCTCAGTCCGTCCTGAGTCATGGCCCCTGCAGCGCCCGGTTCCGGGGGATGATGGGTAATATTTCTTCCACTCCCCTCCGACTATTTTATCTGCAGCGCGGCCGATCGATGCTCCAGAAGAAGCTAAATCATTTGCAGGAGCGGAGCTGCATCAGAGCAGAGAGCATGCTGGGAAAGAGAGATGGGCTGCGTTCATAAAGCAGCATTAAACATCCCATAATCCACTGCAGTGACAACATAGCTTTCTGTTCATCAATACCTCGTTCTGCTGTGCTACATATTTACTGTATTCTTCTTCATTTCAGTATCATTTTCTTTCAATGCCTCTTCATGCTTCTCGGTTACTAAATGTTCCTAATAGCTTTTCATTACAAAACAAAAAAAGGGCTTATGAAGTGTATTTTATCATTAATGAAATTACCTTACAGTTTATACAAATAAAACACTCACAGCTAGATCATTGAACAGAAAGAATTAAGTAAAGCATTGATCCCTTTTCTTTGTATTTAAATAAAAATGTTGGTCAAACCAACAATATATACTATATACTTTTTTACCATATTTTGACTAAATGTTTCCCTGATTACATCATTCCCTGACAGTACATGCATTTTCCTCTTGTACTTCGATGATGTACTTCACTGATTTATGTGTGTACAGTATGTGTGTGTGTATGTATGTATGTATGTTTGTGTGTGTACAGTATGTGTGTGTGTATGTATGTATGTATGTTTGTGTGTGTACAGTATGTGTGTGTGTGTGTATGTATGTATGTATGTTTGTGTGTGTGTGTGTGTGTGTGTGTGCATGCGCGCGTGTGTGTGTGTGTGTGTGTGTGTGTGTGTGTGTGTGTGTGTGTGTGTGTGTGTGTGTGTGTGTGTGTGTGTGTGTGCAACATTTGACCAATCACAAACATGGACAAGCGTACTGACAGCACAGCGTCATACTTCCTGAATGAAAAGTAAACTTTAATATTAGTCAAATATGAAGAAGTTAAACTTTAAACATCCATGACTTAAACACTTTATCCAGGATAAAAGCCACATAGCTGCACCTGCAAGGTGAATACTGCTGGTAAAAGAAAAAGTGTTTGAATGCGTACATTAACAGGTTTATGAAATCACTGCCCCGTCTAAGACACGATCTGACTTTAATTACATTTGACTCGAGTGTTTCGTCAACTTAATGTGTTTCTTAAAATAATACTTCTGCATACAGTATGTGACAATGTAAGTGTTGCACGGCCAGATACGGCTCGAGAAGCTGACTCAGATAGGGAAATATATGATATTATGATGTGATATGATGTGAGATGAATGATAGGTGCGACACTTCAGCGTCTTTCCTGCATACGGCTGTTTAAACTGTATTTCCTTTATCCTGTAATATGACTTGATATCTTTAAAACAAACAGAGTTAACCCTGAAGTTACCTCGCTAACCGCAAATCCTGCTTCGTAGTTCAGGCCACAGGTGAAAACCAAGTGTGGTGGTCTTGGACAACAGGATTACAAATATATATATATAACAATAAGAATTAATTAATAATGTTTAAACTGAAAATAGTTTTCATGTAGGTGTAAAAAAACATTCAGCTGTGCAGTGAACTAACCATCCTATCTAAGACATGTGTGTGTGTGTGTGTGTGTGTGTGTGTGTGTGTGTGTGTGTGTGTGTGTGTGTGTGTGTGTGTGTGTGTGTGTGTGTGTCTTTGTATTTCTGTGTTTATATTTAAGTTTCTGTTCTACTATACCTTGTCAATGTTTACAATTTTTTCCCACCAGAAACCGGCCAATCAGAAAGCCCCAACCAGGCCAGCGATTCAGATATCAAGGAGCAGTCAGAGAATGGTGAGACCTTGTAAAACACACACACACACACACACACACACACACACACACACACCTGTAAATGTTGTATTCTATATATATACCCACACGCTTATGGTGACCTGTGTTTGACCCAGCTGGTTAGACAGAATGAGGCTGTGGTTTTATCACACACACACAGACATACACACACATACAATACACACATGGTGGTTGTTTTTCTGGATCAGGGAAGTCTGTGTGACAGATTATTTCAATCTGAAATATATTTAAATACAAATATACCAGCTGTTACTGACTATTCTTGCTGGGAACAGACGCTTCAACTTCTCATCTGCTCTGTACTACCTTAATACTGCGTTGACTGCGTGTACTGTGTTTACTGCGTGTACTGTGTTTACTGCGTGTACTGTGTGTACTGCGAGTACTGCGAGTAATGCCACTACTGCAAGTACTACTACTGCTACTTCCTCTTATACTTATGCTGCGACTGATATTTGCCTTAAACATATTAGCCAACATCTACTCAATATTGTGATGATGTCATCAAATAATATTTATTGTGTAATGACAAACTCTCTCTCTCTCTCTCTCTCTCTCTCTCTCTCTCTCTCTCTCTCTCTCTCTCTCTCTGTCTCTCTCTAAGGTCATCTGGGTTTTCAGGACAGCTTTGTGACGCCCGGTGTCTTCACGGTAGCCGAGCTTGTAAGAGTATCACAGAGTAAGTCCCCCCCCCCCCCCCCTCTGATAGAGCGAGGCAGAGCAGTGATTGGATTGCAGATCTGAAAATCCCACAACATTACGTTTTCTTCCCTGTCCTCAAACACTGAGGACTCTTTTTCTTTTTGGGCAAAAGTAAATAATACATCACGGTCTGTCTTTACCTGTGTTCAAATAGGAATAATTGAGGGAAAGAAGAAAAGCATTATTACTAACTTAGTGTAGTGTTAACAGTAGTGTTTATCTACAGCATGTTATAAAATTACACTTAAATCATGTTTTAAACAATTTATTCACATTAATCAACAATTGTTAACAGTGTGAACAAGTGTCTTTCATCATGAAGTCATTTAATATAGAGGGGCGATCAAGAGACAGGGGGGGGATGGACATGCTACAGATAGAGGACAGGAGAGAGAGACAGAGAGAGAACGAGGGACCAACGTGACCTTTAAAAAGTGCCGACATGCGGGAGAGAGAAAGAGAGAGAGTGACAGAGAGCGCAGTGGGATCTATATGAGTCTGTCGATCGCCCACCGCTAACAATAGGCCGATGTAAAGTGCCTGTCAGCACACAGAGAGACCCCTGATCAAAGAGTCATCGATCACACACACACACACACACACACACACACACACACACACACACACACACACACACACACACACACACACACACACACACACACACACACGCACACACACACACAGATCCCTGCTTGATCAGATGCACACCCCTGCGCAAGCAAAACCCTATCTCAGTCACACACTCGCACACACACATCTTGCTACAAGTGTGTGTGTTTCTGGATGCCATGCAGATGAAGAAAGAGCACCTAAAGCACACACACCACACACACACACACACACACACACACACACACACACACACACACACACACACACACACACACACACACACACACACACACACACACACACATACACAATATTAGGTATCTGATTGGAACAAACTACATGCAGTGTTTATTTAAAAAACCCTAAAAAGTAGACAGTGTTTGTACTGTTAAGTTTGACTCAGACTTTGTTCTGTATAGCTCTGCCTTTTAAAGAGCCATCTTTAAAAGGCAGGACATCACTTCCTTTCTAGTTTTTGTTCCACAAGTTTCTGTCATCACAGGAAGCTTTGAACTAAGATTATTTTACTCATATATTGTATTTAAGTACAAATTTAGATAATGGTATTTAAATGATCATGTCATATCTTGACAGTTTGAACAGATGGGATTTAAACTGTGACCAAAAGCTCTACTTAAAAAGATGTGCGGCTTTCTTTCAATAGCAAGTTTCCAGTTTACCAATGAAGTTTACCATCTTTCTGTGGCTGCTTTATATCAGTGCACTACACACGCTGTATGGTTTATTCACATACCTAGACACATTCAGGCAGTTTGTGTGTGCGTGTGTGTGTGTGTGTGTGTGTGTGTGTGTGTGTGTGTGTGTGTGTGTGTGTGTGTGTGTGTGTATGGGGGAGTGTATTGCATTGGTCAGCAGATTTGCAGCGATGCGGCTCTGGAAGAATCACTTATAGATTAGTGTGCAGTGTGTGTGTGTGTGTGTGTGTGTGTGTGTGTGTGTGTGTGTGTGTGTGTGTGTGTGTGTGTGTGTGTGTGTGTGTGTGTTGTGTACTTTAACAGCTTTAACTCCTTTTATTTATTACAATGAATGATGAATGATACATATAGAAAAATGTACCTGATAACACACTCACACGGGCAGCAGGATATAGATTCACTTCTTATTCAGCAACAACTCAAACTACATCACTCCGGTTTCAATCTTACAACAGACCAGATTTAAAGCCAACAGAATCCAGTTGAAGTGAAACAAAATAGATTATTATTTCAGATTCTCCATGAGTACTGGATGAATTTAGTAACTGTGGCGAGCAGTTTCCATCTGTTACAGCAAAGTGTTATAAATGCCATCTGAGGCTCATGGGTTTTGTAGTTTTTAGATCTTACCAACAGAGACAAGACTAGACAAGAGTCTATAGCCATGCTAGTGAACAACGGAATGCTAATATTTTCAAACTACCACAATGATAAAGCATAACTAACCTGCCTATTGAGACCAACGTGAGGTCATTACATGTCTTGTTTTGCGCAAACAACAAAAACAGTCAGTGAAGGGAGACTTCCACTCAGCCAACGTTTACTCTTTAACCCTTACTTCAGTTACCTACATTACCTTACACAGGGCACATGGCAAACATTTGAACCTGAGCCATATTATTTTCCCTAACCAAACAGTTTCGTTGCCTAGACCTTAAGTGAACAAAGTATATATTATCTTGAAATAACACAAGTATCAGTAAACACAACGTACAGGTATTTGGTCATTACAAATGCTGTGTATGCAATGCTAAACTACTCATATACCCACTAGTATACAAAGTATCTACATCAAAATACTCTTTCATTCATGTGCAGGTGCAAGAAACTAAATATTTTCTATAATAGTCTGGCAGTGGCTCAGTCAGTAGGGGCTTGGACTGGGAGCCATTGGGTTGCCGGTTCAAGTCCCCCACCAGACCTAAAATATGGAGTGTGGACTGCTACTTGGAGAGGTCCCAGTTCACCTCCTGGGCCCTGCCGTGGTGCCCTTGAGCAAGGCACCGGATAACCCCCCACTCCCATTGCTCCCCGGGCGCTGTACAATAGCTGCCCACTGCTCCTTGTACTAGGATGGGTTCAATGCAGAGGCCAAATGTCACTGTGTGTGCTGTGTGCTCTGCATGTGTGACCATTACAGAGGGTTTCATCCTCCGATTCTATTCTCTAATACCACTCTTTGAAAGGAGATATTTGACAGAATGACTACTTTACTGATAATAGCATACCTGTAGTTAAATCGCTTATCTGCTAAATATAATGTATAGTCACATTCTTAATTATGGACCTTCACTTGAACTAATGAATGTGTGTGTGTTTATTCATACCATAACACTCTCTTTTAAAAACACAAACACCAACACATGAGACACAAGTGTAGCTACTGTAGTAGAGTTACACACACACACACACACACACACACACACACACCCACACACACACACACACACACACACACACACACACACACACACACACACACACACACACACACACACACACACACACACACACACACACATACACACAGGTCTGCAAAAGTGACTGAAGCCTATAGCTTACCAGAAGCTGAGAATGGTCAGTGGGGTGGAGGGGGTGGAAGGGGGGAATTGAACACAGCACACACACACACACAGCGGGTGACCTTGGCGTTGTGCAGCCATTTCACAATTCACTGGCAGGCCAATCGAATCTCTCTCTGTCGATCAATATCCTATTAAAGCAGCACACAAAGAGAGAGAGAGAGTGAGAGAGTATAGGTTAGTGTTGCAGCGTGTATTAAATGTAATTGGTCAGTTCAGTATATTTCTGCAGACTGGATTCTGACTTCTCCTCCTCAACCCTCTCTTGTGTCTCTGTCGTTCCCTCTCGTTTTATATCATTTACTCTCTGATTTTCCCGGTGTTCCCCCCCTCACTGAGTCTGTGTTAACACATGTAGAAAGAGTTCTCCCTTTAATCAGCCACAGTCCTCGTTCTGTTCAAAAGTGACTTTTAAAGTTAAGATAGAGGGTTCAGCAGTGTTTTAAATAATGTGTTGCCTTATTAGTCTGAGTGTTTTTGATCTGACAACACGCAACATGTTTGGTTGGGTAAATCTTGTAAATAAATTGGACAACACATTCTTGCTCCCAACTCGCCAAAAAGCCACATCACGGTCAGTGGGCCCTTGTCTCCAACTATGCCGCTCTAGTTGCCCCTCTATCATCAGTGTTGGTCAGATTCATAACTCTAAGTTTATCAGTGAGATATACTCAAGTCTCTGAATGGCTCCAGCAGCTCGTATGCAGCAGTTACCTTAATTAGGACTATGATGTGCTTCACATATAAACAAGTGCAGCAAAACATCTGACAGAAACACAGTGAGCAACACATTCGAACACACACACACTCGCGCGCGCGCGCACACACACACACACACACACACACACACACACACACACACACACACACACACACACACACACCCACACACACACCCACACGCGCGCGCGCGTGCACACACACACACACACACACACACACACACACACACACACACGCGCGCGCGCACGCACACACACACACACACACACACACACACACACACACACACACACACACACACACACACACACACACACACACACCTGGTGATGTGCAAACACCAGATGGGCATCACAGCACAAATGGATGGCAATTTTAATAATAATCACAATTTTAATGATAAAAGTAATAAAACTGTGACATTGACACTTTATCTTAAAAATCTAAGGGAACTGTACTATGATCAGACAGTTATCTAAGTGAATTATTGATCAATTATAAGATTAAATAATTAGAAACATTTGATGGATTGTATAATAAATTATACAGTAAATTACTTTAAAACATCACTAATACAATCAAGATGAAATGAAGCTGCATTTGGCCAATGGCCAGGTTGTAGCATCAAACATCAGAGAGACAGAAAGACATAGAGCAGCTTTTGTATTGATCACAAATAAAGGTTTACATCTGGTATGGCCCCCTACAGGCTGCACTTCTTATTTCAGACACAAAAAGAAAGTCTGAACTGAACCTACAGCATATACCCTTTTTTCAACCAAAATGAGTGTGTAGATGCAGGTTTTTACTCCAAAAGACCCTGCAAAAAATAAGCGATAAATTCCCATGACAGTGATTTTATTCTCCATATCCAAAATTAGCAGGTAAACAGTTACACCAATCATGTCCAAAAGTAATAAAACACTTAAACGGGAACTTAAAGCGCCTCAAAAGTTCAGCCAGTTTCTACGTTTGCAGTTTTTAGCTGAAGCATCTGTGCTGGTAGTCATTGATATGAATCAAAAAGCACATTTTGTGAATGCAACCTAACATCCATAGCAACTTTATTTTTAACAAACAACAAAACTCTTCCCAAAGTTCTGCTTGGACCATACACGCAAATCCTGAGTGAACACAAACTGATTTCCTCTTCCTACCAGCTACTTCTCTGAGTCCTAACTCAGCAGACATGATTCACATCTTTGTGTATTCAGTGTGACCTACATTGCTCACTGAAATCAGTAGCTTTTATGTCTCATAAAAAACATCCATAAATCCAATAAGATGTTTCAGGCAAAGGAAACGCTCGTTGTGACTGCAGAACTTTCCTGAGAATCATCAGGGTTTGACGTTTCCTTCAGCGCCAAACTAATCCAGGGATAGCTGTCAGTCGATCCATGTGTCCATGGCAACCAGGAGCTGCTAATACATCATTCAGCATATGTTTAATGATGCATTACCAGTAGTTAACACACATATACACAATTACAAATGGAAAATAATTAGGAAGAACTACACATGGAAAGTAAACTATACTACTAGTGTGTGTGTGTGTGTGTGTGTGTGTGTGTGTGTGTGTGTGTGTGTGTGTGTGTGTGTGTGTGTGTGTGTGTGTGTGTGTGTGTGTGTGTGTGTGTGTGTGTGTGTGTGTGTGTGTGTGTGTGTGTGTATGGCTCTCATGCTAGTACTTTATCTGCAGGGCAGGGAGAAAGAGAGAGAGAGAGATAGAGTGATAGATAGATGAACACGCTCACTTTGCTGAGCTCAGCACCAAACTCCCACCAGGTCTTGTCAGTCCAGCCCCCCCCCCCCCCTCCTTTTCCTTTCATCCCAGTGCACCATCATGCTCTCTGTCAATAAAACGATGAAGAGGAGGGATGGAGAAGGCGGTGGAGGTTTGGGGGGGCTCGAGGCAAGGGGCTAGACGGATGTCCGGGTTTTGAAGCTGATTGCTGGCTTTGTTCAGCAGGATTTTCAAATTGAAGCGTTTGACAACAAAGACCTGACTCTCTCTCTTTCTCTCACCCCTCGCTCTCTCACTTATTTATTAGTGAGAGCCCTCGCAGGCCTTTGTGCAGGAGCTTTCCTCCCCAGAGCAGCAGAGGAACACAGACATGGGGAGGAGGGTACATTTCAGATGATGGACAGATCAGAGAGGAAGAGGAGTAGCGCTGCGTTGATAGATGCTAATGTATCTCTCGGCTCTCACATACAGCTATAACATCATGTCACCACCTCCCTGGACTGATATTCAACATTTAAACACAAACATATCATGGTGGTATTAACAGCAGAGGAGGTGGTGAGGGAGATAACGTTCTGTTAACTTCCCATCATGTTGTTGACACATGTGTCTTAAAGTGAGGAAGAGTCTCTGGAGAACATGATTGAACAAATATGGAAGTGTCTAGCTCAGTTAAATGATAAGTTGTATCAAGTTAAATTCTTCTTCCCAGTATATGATCAACACAGTATATATCAAATGCTAGGTTTTGACATCTATAAGAATCGATACGATGCAGTTTGCCGATTGTGCAGTGTTTTTATTCACTTCATTTGTTTGTTTGACCCAGCGGTAGTCCAATTTCTGAAATCAGTCTCAATTGTTACGATGGGGTATGGAAGGCAGGACACAAATGCAGGATAAAACAGGGGACGCAGATATAAGAATCCGAACAAAAGCCGAGCTTTTTTTGAAATAATAGTGAAACAAGACAAGACACAAGGAGGGAAAACATTTCAACCTAAAACAGGAAATTATTAACACAAAAACCAAAATCATGAAACTCAATAATGCCCATCAGAGGGTCCATTTCAACTGCAGGGAAATCCCCCACAACGTCACCTGCTGCTCCTTCACACTGAAAGCTCCCCATGAGGTTGTTCAGGATCAGGACCCCCAGGGCAGGTCACATGAAATGCCTCAACATGTGTGAAATAATGCTTCTCCCCCTCTCTCTTTCAGCACCTATTGCAGCCGGCACCGGCCCTAACTTCTCATTGACCGACCTGGACAGCTCCTCCTACTACAGCATGAGTCCAGGAGCCATGAGGAGACCGCTACCAAGCACCTCCTCCAGCAGGTACACACACACACACACACACACACACACACACACACACACACACACACACACACACACAGCCACACACACACACACACACACACACACACACACACAGACACACACACAGACACACACACACACACACACACACACACACACACACACACACAGACACACACACACACACACACACACACACACACACACAGACACACACACACACACACACACACACACACACACACACACACACACACACACACACTCAGTGAAGCAAATCCATATGGAAGTATTTAAGTCTACGCTAATGTCAATGACTCTTCATTCATACATCTCACTACATGCGGGTCACACAATGCAAACCTCGTACACACACTTAAATGTCTTAACTCTGACACATTAAAGCGTGAAGCAGCAGAGTGACGGTACCTGAAGCTCTCATTAGAGGATGTGTTCACTGTTTTAGATTTTCTTTCTACCTTATTAAGATGCTGTTTACCATCATTCATACAGTAATGATGCAGACCACAGAGTCACACTCAGCTTCTGCTGCTGCTGTGTTTAAATACCCTTAAACACTAGAAATCATAAAAACAACTGAAGGCTCAAAGATGATGGATTGAGTTTCTTTATTATTGTCATGGAGAATGTCCTCCGTTACAGCATCTTAGAGCAGAAATAAGTCAATAAATGAGCAAAAAACTACTGAATAAAAAAGAGTTATCACTGAGATGATAAGCAGAACACATATAAAATACTTAACTAGCAAAAACGATACAATAATTTTAAATAATAGGCAAGAAGTATATTAAATACATATCATCAATGAATCAGTTCATGGTCTTTTTTAGCACAAAAAGCAACTTTTAGACTTTTGAGTACCTGGAATGTGTCAGTTTCTGGTTGATTTTGTATGAAAGGTAATAATACAGTATGTTGCATTCTACCTTATCAAAGAACTCATTGGTAGATTACTTCAAGTAAGTAGGAAGAAATTATTTTTATTTTCAGCATACTAAAAGAACAATTATACAACGGACAATAGAAGCAAACTGGAAGAAATGTTGACAGAGTGCTCTTCTTTTCCTGTGTGTGTGTGTGTGTGTGTGTGTGTGTGTGTGTGTGTGTGTGTGTGTGTGTGTGTGTGTGTGTGTGTGTGTGTGTGTGTGTGTGTGTGTGTGTGTGTGTGTGTGTGTGTGTGTGTGTGTGCGTGTGTGTGTGTGTAGCTCTGCCAAGAGGATAAAGTGTATGGAGGAGGACGTGGACAGTCCAGAGGAGTCGTACTACCCCAATCAGGGCCGCTCTCCGGGCAACGGCAGTCAGGCCAGCAGCTGGCACGACGTGGAGCCAGGTAGGTGCACCCAGTCGCCACGGCAACCACATCCTTTAATAACCCGCCTCCTCCCTCTCCAGCCTCCACCTCCAGCATTAACACACACTTCTTAAACATCCCTACTTTAACCTGCTGTTTCCAAATCAGCTTTGGGCTGCTTTCATGTAACAGTGCGATGGCGAGGGTGTGTGTGTGACAGAGACAGAGAGAGAGAGAGACAGATTATATTGAAGTATCTAAAATGTGTAAACATACCGTATGTTTAAGAGAAGTGTATTTGCGTTTAGGCTTTGGAGGTACATAAGAATGTTTGTGTGTGTGTGTGTGATCTCAATGTTTGACTACATACACTTATTAAGACTGAATTACATTGTGATCAGATCTCATTGCGCAGATTAGGTTGAAGGGGTCAAAGCAAAGGTCAAATGATAAATGACGTAGTATGTTACCTGGGATATATAGAAACAGAATTGTTGAGGTTTTACCTCCACCTCTTTCTCTTTCGCTCTCAGTAAATTCATGCTGCTTTTCTTTTCCCCCCTCTGTTGGGTTCTTTTCTTTCTTTCCTCCGTGTTGCGTTGGACAGCTGGATATAAGCTGCGCGGCTCTCTAGCTAGCTCATTCATCTCCAGACAAGGTAAAGACTGTGACACGCCTTTGAATTGCTCTGTCTGTGACCCCCCCCTCCCCCGGTGGTCAGATACCTGGTGGTCTTTGGTTTGTCATTTGGTGTTGTGACGTGTCTGGTTCTGTCTGGTGGTCTCCACTCTTCCTGCTGTTTCTCCTTCACTCATCCTTTCATTTCCACCTTCAATTTCTCCCTCTTCTTTTATTGATTTCTCCCTTCATTCTTTTTCTCCCATGCATCTTCCCTTCTTTTCTTTCTTTCTCTTCCTCCTTTGTCCTCCTTTCACTTCCTCAATCTTCCTGTTGTATCCCTCTTTTCTTCTCTCTCTTTCCTCCTCTCTCCTGTGTCCTGTATCCTCAACCTATTTCCTTTCCTTCTCTCCTCCTTCGTTTCATTAGTCACCTCACAAGCTGCCCTCCTTTCTTATTGTCTCATCACATCCATTACCCCGCTCCCCACTGACCCCGCCTACCTAGCAGCATGCTGATGACATCATCATGGCTGTTTATTTATTATTGGTTGGTTATCTGTGAAGAAGAAGGATTTTAACACTGTGCATGATAACATGATGTGTGTGTGTGTGTGTGTGTGTGTGTGTGTGTGTGTGTGTGCGTGCGTGCGTGCGTGCGTGCGTGCGTGCGTGCGTGCGTGCGTGTGCGTGTGTGTGACTGTGTGTTAAGGTATACTGTATGTAAAGTTAGCTGTATATTACTATTGGGCAGTAACTCTTCTCCATGTGCACCTGTAAATGTGTGTGAACGTGTGTGTGTGTGTGTGTGTGTGTGTGTGTGTGTGTGTGTGTGTGTGTGTGTGTGTGTGTGTGTGTGTGTGTGTGTGTGTGTGAGATAGATAGATAGATAGATAGATAGATAGATAGATAGATGTGTAAACAGAAGTGCTGAGCAGACTGCCTCGATTACCTCCTGACAAAGCCTCTTCAACTATTCATCACTCACTCACACACACACACACACACACACACACACACACACACACACACACACTCACACACACACACACACACACACACACACACACACACTCACACACACACACACACACACACACACACACACACACCTCCTCCCCCACTCTATTCCTCCTCCTACTGCACCTCAGTTAATCATTATAAGCCCCGCCCCCTTCAGGTGCATCACACACTGATGCTTTCAGGACGCTCACACAGTCTTGACCTCTATTGAACATGCTGTGTATGCAGGGTCTGAATGACTTTGAATAAAGTCAGCAGCTGCATCTCTTTGCAGACATGAGTTGTAATGGATGGAGCAACAGGTTGCACCAAAACGCAGTGAGGGGCACAGGTTTGAATTACACAAAGCAAGCTGTATTAAACTAAAGCCCTTGCGTATAGCCCTTTTTGCCACACGAGGCCGTAACTAAACGATAGAAACAGACCCCGCAAACGATAACGGGTCCAAAGGTGGATAGATCTGGGAACGGAGCGCTCTGGGGGGTCCAACGGCTCCGTGTGGTAGCCTCTATACGATCATTTTCTGATAATGACGCCGCAATAGCCCTGCCTCTCCCCACCTCTGCTGCTCACCCCCGCAAAAGTTCACTGCACACTGAATTCAGATTATTTATCTTTCTCTCTATATGGACATAAACGCGAGTGAAGTCTAATCTGACAGGACGGAGACACGCAGCTCCTCCCGCTGTGATGCAGCGGGAGCAAAACACACAGTTCAAGTCAGATCATCACCCTTAGCTATTTTAATTACCTCTCAAACTACCTAAACTAGTTATAAATATGTTTATTTTTACTGTCGAGTCATCATTACTGGATCAGCTGCTGCATGAGACAGACACTGACGCTGTCAGAAGAGAGGGAAAAGAGACAGCCTCCGTGTATTTGATGATTATATATCATTATATAGAGTCGTTATTCATTTGTTTTAAAGCTCAATAAATAACAAAGAAGACCTTTGACCGGCACTTTTATAATTTTGTCCGGAAGATTTAAACTTTAACACACGTTGACCGGCGAAAAACTCTGCCCGGTTCTGTCGGCCCCCACCGCGGAGAATAAACAGAAGTGCAGCCATGACAACCATTCTTCTTCGCTGCTTTTGTGGAGGAAGTTGCTGCTTTTGTGGAGGAAGTTACAGCGCCACGTACAGGCTCGGCATATGTACTGCAGCTTTTCCAGCGGTTGGAACTAAACGGAGCTGTCTCGTGTGGCAAGACACTATCCGGTGTATATTGCGTGTGGACGGAAGCTTTTTGGCGATTGCGTTTGCGTTAATCCTATGCGTTTTGCCGTATGCGTTCCTGTGGGGCCGGGTCCTCAATCTATTCGCTCCCCCCCTACGCCCTCTCCTCCCTCTCCTCCCATCTCTTCTCCATTGGAGGTGCATATCAATGTGAAAGTATAGAAAACACGTTGCCTTGACCCGCTCCTCATCCTCATCATCATGGTTCTTGGCAGGGATGCCGTCCACCGCCGGCGCTCTAAAGAAGTCAGGTTTCTGCGGCGCCATGCCCCTGTCGAGCGGAGCCCCTTCCACCTCCTCCTCTTCTTCCTCCTCTTCCCCCCAAATGGCCTTTACACACCACCACCAGCCCGTCATTACCACGCATCGAGGTGAGGTTCTCAACCAGTCAACCCCAACAACCACCAACGACGCCCTCCCCCCCACCTCCTTTACTCCTCCCCCTCACAACACACCCTCACCTCCTCACACCTTACCTTCCTCCCTCCCCTGTTAGTGGCTGTGGGTTTTGTCAGGAAGAGGCACTGAAAGGCAGAATAAGAGATGTATTCACCTGTATTCTCAGGCAGGGTGTGTGGGTGTGTGTGTGTGTGTGTGTGTGTGTGTGTGTGTGTGTGTGTGTGTGTGTGTGTGTGTGTGTGTGTGTGTGTGTGTGTGTGTGTGTGTGTGTGTGTGTGTGTGTGTGTGTGTGTGTGTGTGTGTGTGTGTGTGTGTGTGTGTGTGTGTGTGTGTGAATGAAGGATGACAAATGAATGGTTGAATGGTTCCCTATGAGAACCAGACCTGATTATTGTGAGGATCATTTGAGAACATTTGGAACCAAGTGAAAACCTCTAGATCTTAGGCCAATAACTTCAGTAAGTGCCTGGTTCCTCGCCTGGTTCCACGCCTGGTTCCACGCCTGGTTCCTCTCCTGGTTCCACGCCTGGTTCCTCGCCTGGTTCCTCGCCTGGTTCCTCGCCTGGTTCCTCGCCTGGTTCCTCGCCTGGTTCCTCGCCTGGTTCCTCGCCTGGTTCCTCCAGCTGTAATGCTGTTAAGTTTCCCCTAAAAGTTTGTCAGAAATCACCAGATCAAGTCCCATCAGATGGTTGGGGTCAGATTGTCATCAGCTGCTGTAGAGTGGCGAGCATTTCTTCCTGAATGTGTTCCAGCAGCCTGTGGGAGGAGGGTAGAGGATTGGCAGTAATGTGTGAGCCAATGGTAGCAGAGGAACTCCTGCAGGGCTTAAAGGTATAGGGACAGAATCCTGTCAACTTCCTGTTTCAAAACAGCCATCATTCATACTCATCAGTGAAGCTGGAGTTTTCAACTGGATTCAGTCCATCTTCATCTTCCTCTTCCTCTTCCTCCCCTTCCTTCTCTTTAATTCTCAAGTTCTTTCCTGCACTCTTCTTCACAACTCTTCTTCACAACTCTTCTTCACAACTCTTCTTCATCCTTCCTGATCCTGCTTGTCTCTTCTCCTATACTCTTTGTTCACTTCACTTCCTTTCCTTTGACTTCTTCAGCTTTGTTTCATCTCCTCCTTCTTGGTTCACCATAACTTCTCACTTTCCCACTTTGAATCTTCCCATCCCTCCAACTAGTATGCTCTTCTTCCTCTTCCTCCTCCCAGCAGTGACAATGAAGATGCTCTACCTCCTCCCTCTTATCGTTTATCAACAGGAGGAGGAGGAGGGGGGGAGAAGGGGGAAGAGGGGGAGGAGGGGGAAGAGGGGGAGAAGGAGAAGGGGGAGGAGGGGGAGCAGGAGAAGGGGGAGGAGGAGGAGGAGGAGAAGGGGAATGAGGGGGAGGAAGAGAGGAGGAGGAGGAGGAGGGTGTCTGATGCAGTGAAGCGAGGCAATTTGCAAAGTGGAACTAATCCCAGCCCTTTCTTCCGTGTTCGACATGCAGGCTGCTGGTCCTCAATGCCATTCACCATCCTATCTCACTGCAGACAGGCCACACACACACACACACACACACACACACACACACACACACACACACACACACACACACACTCACACACACACACACCCACACACACACACACTGTAGTTGTGTTGTGAAGACTCAGACATTATGGGAAATCCTCTTGCTTGCCGTCTTTAAAGGACGAGATGATCAATGAAAATGTTGTCTTTGTGCGTTCTATGGAGAGCACTTTACATGTTTCAGGGAAAGAGAAATCATGACTTATTGTCCACTCAGAACATCGCTCATATAGTGGTTGTAATTTACCACTGAATCCTCTAGAGGGAGCTAGGATAACTTTCACTCTGTTGACAACATAAGTCATTTTCGAACAAAGAAGAATACTTCTCAGTTTGACAGCAATGAAGACGTCCTTTAAGATGGCAGAATTAGTCCGCTCTACCTGAAGTGGTTTTTAAATCCCAGAGAGTGGCGTTCCAGCCGTCACACACACTTTCCCCAGCTATCTGCCAGCGTTCAAGGCTTCCGTGTGGTGCGCTTTTACTTGTGAAAAAGTAGATAAAACTGCTCCATAAACAATATTGTTACAGAACTTCTCACACTTATTTTTCAAACTGAGTTTTTTTTTGCAGATTAGCCTAGCTTAGCATAAAGACTGGAAGCAGGGGAAACAGCTAGCGTAGCTCTCTCCAAGTTCAAAATGACACTTAGCGTCATCTCACAATGTTCACAAACAGTCAGTTCTAGGGTTGCTGGAATGATTTCTCGGTGGACTCTACGGTCTCTTCCTGGGGGTTCAGGTTTGGCACAATGAAGACAAGAATATTCTTTTTGTTTGCCAATACCTTTCTATTTATAACTGTGTCTGTATGTGTGTCGAGATGTCAGTGTGTACATATTGTAAATAACTCATTGACATTGTTTCTGTTCAGACTCCCTCATAAAGGGAATGAATGTCACTCG